GTGGCTATTCTCAAAGCTCCATTTTGAACTGTTTCAATTTTTTTTATTTCTGTGTCATTTGCTGTTCCATAAATTGTTATACCATATTCTATTTTTGGTTTTATGTAGATATCATAGAATTTTATCATTGTCTCTCTGTTTGCTCCCCATGTTGTTGTTGATAATTTTTTCATTATGTTTATTCTATTTGTACATCTAATTTTCAAGTTATTAATATGGTTTTTCCACTTTAGTTTTGGTGCGTCGAATTCGAGTCCTAGGATTGTATGTTTATTTGTGAATTTTAGTTCTTCATTATTTATTTTTATTATTGGTATTTGTCTTATTCTTTTTTTTGTAAAGCACATTACTTTGCTTTTAGTTAAATTTAATTTAAGCTCCCAGTCGTTAGCCCATTTTACTATTTTATTTAATCCTACTTCTAGATTGATTTTTGCTTCTTCTAGATTTTCATTTATTGTTATTATATTTATGTCATCTGCATATATTATTTTGTTGGTTTTTACTGTTAGATTTAGATCTGACATCATTATGTTGAATAGTAATGGACTTAATGGAGATCCTTGTGGAAGTCCTTTACTTATTCCTCCTTCCTCGGATTTTTGGTTTCCTATTATTATTTGGTAGGATCTATTATTTAAAAAATTAGATATCCATCTGAGAGGAGTACCCGTTATACCTAGTTTAGCTGCTTTTATTATTATTGCATCATGGTTTACTTTGTCAAAAGCTTTTTCTAAATCTAGAGATGCTATTAGGGCATATTTTTTCTCTTTATAAGCTTTTTTAATATGAAAATCGATTATTTGTAATGTATCTATTGTTGAGCTATTGGGTCTGAAACCTGTTATGTCTTGACTTAGTTTGTTATTTTTTTCAAGCCACCATATTAGTCTATTGTTGATTATGCTTTCCAGCATTTTCCCTATACATGAGATTCTGCTTATGAATCTATATGATTTTTTATTTGCTGGATCTTTATCCGGTTTTAATATCGGATTTACAGTGATTTCTTGAATTCTATAGGATATTCTCCTTTTATCCACAACTGATTATAGATGTTTAAAATTTTTTCCAGTAGGTTATTTGGGATATTTTTATAAAATTCATAAGGGATACTGTCTGGGCCACAAGCTTTATTATTTTTTTTGTCTTTTTATTACAGAAATTAATTCTTTTAATGTTATCTCCTTTTTTAATCCGTTCGTACTTGGCAATTCTATTAAACTTTTAAATTCTGATTTTGTTATTAAGCATTTTGTTTTTGTGTTTATTATACTTTGGAATTCTTCTTTTAAGAGTTTTAATTTCTTTTTTGTTTCTTGTATTGGCTGATCATTATCTATTAGCGGGTAATTATTTATTCTATTACTGCCTGAAAGTTTCTTAATAAAATTCCATATTTTTTTGGTTGGGGTTCTAAAATCTAATGAGTGGCAGAAATTTGACCAACTTGTTTCTTTTTTCCTTTTCTATTGTATCTCTTGCTATTATTTGAAGTTTTTTGTATTCTATTCTGTTTTTTTCATTAGGATTTTTTCTCCATTTATTGAATGATTTGTTTCTTTGTTTTATTACTTCTTTACATTTTTATTCCACCATGGTTTTGTTGGTTTATTTTTACTATTATCATTATTTAATCTGAAATGTTTCATCCCTATGTTTTTTATTATTTCTGTTATTTCGTTCAGTGATTTTATATTGTCCACATCTATTTTTTGTATTTCTTCTTTAAATTTTATCCATCCTTCTTCATTGAATTTCCATTTTTCCTCTTTAACTATTGTTTCTCTATTGTGATTAATGTCTCTTATTATGATTGGAAGGTGATCGCTTCCTCCATATATTTTTGCTTCTACTTCTAATTTACTCAGTTCTGGGGTGCCCAGAACTAGGTCTATTGTAGACCCTTTACCTGTTTTCGGATCTATTCTAGTAATTTGTCCTTTTGGAGTTAACATCAGTATGTTATTTTGATTTATTAAATTAAACAAGTTTATTCCAGTGATATTTGTTATATTTTGGTTTGTTTTTGAATTCCATAGCGGATGATGGGCATTAAAATCTCCTATTATGAGTTTTGGTTTTTCTATTTGGTTTATGTAGTGTTCCATATCTTTTTGATTTACTTTGTTACATGGGTTGTATATTAAAAGTAAGTGTAGCCATCCTCTTTTATAGCTAATCTTTATAGCTAATGTTTCGATGTTTTTATTTTGTAATTCATTTAGATTAATCTTCTTGTATTGTATATCATTTTTTATACAAATTGCTAAGCCGCCTCCCCTTTGTTCTATTCTATCATTTCTTATGATATCATAATCTTTTATATCAAATTTGTCATTATTTGTAAGCCAAGTTTCGCAAATTGCGAATATCTCCGGGTTTTCTGTTTGAATTAGATATTCTATATCTATTTTTTTGTTTATTACAGATCTAGCGTTCCATAGTATTGTTTTAGTCATTAAACCAAACTGATATTTGTTTTAATATTGGAGCAACTTCAGTTATTATCTCTGTTATTATTTCAATTATTGTTTTGTCTGATTTGAATTTTTCGGTTATATTAGTTATTAATTTGAAAATTCCTTTTGTTATTTCAACAAATGAAGGTTTTTCTTCTTTGTTTTTTTGTTCTTCTTCTTCTTCTTTCTTCTTCTTTTCTTTTATTGTTGGGTTTTTGTTTAGTGGTGTTGGTAGAGACCATGTTATGGGGGATTCTGTGAGTTTCTTGTCTTTTATGTTTTGTTCCTTTGTGTGTGTTTGTTCTTTTGTTTTTTCTTGACTGTTTTTTTTGTTTTGATTTTGTTGATTGAGTTGGAGTATTTTCTGCTCTGTTTGTGTTATTTTTTTGTTTTGTGGGTGTTTTTTGTGCTGGTGTTATGTTATTTGTTTGTGTTAGTATTTTAGCATATGTTTGTGTTATGTTTGGGTTTGTTTGTTGTATAGTGTTTGTGTTATCATCTGTTTGTTGTTTGTAATCTGTTTCTGAGTTGTGTATTTCTGCTGTGGTAATTATTATGTTTTTTTGTATTGGTTGATTCTGTTTTTGTGTTGTTGGGTTTAAGTGATGGAAAAGTTTTTTTACTTCTAAGTTATTTGGTGTTGTGTTTTTTTTTGTTTATTTCTTGGGCTTTTTGATGAATTGGGCAAGTTTTATCGTATGCTGTGTGGTTACCTTTACAGAAAAAGCAATGAGGTGGATTTTTGCAATCTTTATATTTGTGATCTTGTTGGCTGCATTTACTACATCTTATTTTGTTTTTGCATGATATCAACCCATGGCCATACATTAGACACTTAAAACATTTGGATATTGGGAATGTGTATTGATATACCTTATAACTTATATGACCTATTGTTAATTTGTTAGGTAATGGACCTCTGAATGTTATTTTCAGGGATTTAGTAGGAATCCATTTATTTTCTCCTGATATTTTACTTGGTTTATGAATCCTTGTTATATCTTTTATGTATGTATCTGGCCCCCATAGTATCTTGGTTTTTTCTTTGATTTCTTCTATTTCTATATCTGTTTCTACTGGGGATATTGTTCCATAGGAGCATCCTTGATCTTTATTTGATGCAGGTTGCTTACAGTTTATTTCCCAGTTGCCTAGGTATTTAATTTCATTGAGAGGTCCAATTTTTGATATATCTACTACCTCGAATCTAATGGCTTTTCCATCTCCTATTACTCTTAATGAATTTTCAATTATGTATTTTTGAAAAATTGATTTATTTATGGCCTCAGTTAACCTTATTGGATGGTTGAAGTTTGAGGTATTTGATTTGTTTGTTATTTGTATTAGAATAACATTTTCTTGAGGGGTACCTTGAGTTACTGTTCCGTAGGTATGGTTCTCCGTGGTCTGTTTGCCGGTTTCTTCGTTTCTTGCTTGTTTGGTGTATGGGCAATCTTCGCTATCACTGTCTCGTCTTCTGCTGTTTTTCTGGTGTTCGTATATCATTTCATTGTCTTTTCCAGGTTCTTCACCTGGATCAAGATCAAAGTTTCCGTTCATAAGCTTTCACTTCACTGAGTTCGGTACTTTTTAAAGATTGATCACTCTTACACGTTGATGTTCACTCTTCAAAGTCTCGACCGGTTCTTGATAGTGATATACTATAAAAAATTTATTGTGTGAAATAGGCCTTGCTGTTGGGCGAAGCGGTGGATCCAAACAAGCCGTTTAACTTGAACTTCCATGACGTCATAACTCGTCTGACTTCGGTGGAGGATTGAAATAGTTTATTTAAAATGCTATGTAAGGAATAATTAAGTTTAGACGCCAAAATATCTATCCCTCTCTCTCTGTGTTGGCCATTTGTCTCTTTTTTTGTTTGCCTTATCTTTTTGTTTTTGTATGTCTATATTCTATCTCTGTACCTTTTCTTCTGTGTCTTCTGTCAACTCTTTCTCTTCTGTGTCTTGTCTCTCTTTCTCTCTGTCTGTAATTATCTGTTCTCCTTCTCAATGCCTAATTAGAGAGATGATAGATAGAATAGATAGATAGATTAGATATAGATAGATAGATAGATAGATAGATAGATAGATGATAGATAGATAGATAGATAGATAATAGATAGATAGATAGATAGATAGATAGATAGATAGATAGATAGATAGAGAGAGAGAGAGAGAGAGAAGAAAGGGGAGACGAGAGAGAGAAGGAGTCAGTCTGTCTGCTTCTGTCCTGTCTGTCTCTCTCTTTTCTCTCCCTCCACCTCCTCCTCCTCTCCTTCTCCCACCCAACCACTCCTGCCCCTGCCTCCACCCTCCCACCCCCTCGCTCCCACTAAGCGTGATCGAGGGTGAGCGGCTTAGCGTGAGAGATTCAGAGTGAGAGAAGCTTTCCATTAAGACTGGAATCCATCACCTCCATGAACGGGTTTTCACCACACTGTCCTAATCGCATCATAGGAGAAGGAGCGGCGAAGCGAGAGCGATCGGCTAGGAACAAGTTAATAATAAACAGGAAAAAAATGCGCACAAAAAAGAAAAAATGTTTGGAAAATCAACACCAGTTTTTATTTTTACGGGTATATGTGTTTTTTCTGTTAAATAGAAGAGACAGAATAGGTGGATTGAGGGAATCAGAGAGAGAGAGAGAGAGGGAGAGGAGGGGGGGGAGGGGAGAAGGAGAGGGAGATAGGAGAGGGAGAGGGAAAGGAA